AATTAGTTAAATTGAAAATATTTATCACCCAAAAAGTGTATATAGCTTGAACTTCTAGTGGTCGCCGGTCAATGGAAAATTAATAGATACATTTTTTGGTGCTTATGGACAGAAATTGAAAGTGATTTAAGCTGACATTCAGGCAAGGACAAAAATGTTTAGCTACCGCGATGCTGAGAAATTTGCAAATGAAAAGCTCACGCTTCGGGCACGTGCTTGGATATACATATATATATTCATATTGTGTATCTAATGGATACAAGTGCACACTTGATTTACTTAAGATGCATTTTCTGGGGTAATCGTTGAGAAAATTAGTGAGCCAAGGCCCGTAGGGAATTTTAGTTTTCAAAAACTCATAAATTTGTTTGCTTAGATATAGAAGTAGCTCAGCGACAGCTGCTATGTGAAGAGCTATTTTTAAGCTTTTGTTGCTCCGTCAGCTGGCGGAGGGAAATTTTCGAATAGGAGCGGAAAATAAGGGGTGGTGGTTGAAAAATTCGCCGGCTTTTTTGTAGCACCTTTGCAATTTGTTGCAGTGAAAGTGTCACACTTTTTTTTGGCGCATTTCTTGGCATTGATCCCATTTGCAATCTTTGTTTTTTTGTAATTTCGCGGATAATTAAATGAAACGAAACAATTATATAGTAGCAAAACAACGAAAGCGTGGGAAATGCAGGAAAAGCAGAAAGTGCAGAAATACAGTGAATGCTCGAAATATATATTCGATTGAATATGGAGGATAATAAAATACAAAAGTCTTATTTTTCTAAAATGTTACTAATTATTTTGTTAAACTTTTTAGTCTTTGAAGACGAATATTGAATGATATCATGAAAATAATACAAACTATCATTCCAAAAACTTCAACCAGTTGAAATTAGATAAATATTAATTATAATTCAGTTTATAAATATTTTTACTTTTAAATTTAATTGACTTTGGGTCCCTTCTTTCACCTTTTACTCGTAGATTGAAAAGGATTTATTGTTTTTAAGTTAAAATTTTAGTATTTCATTTCGCAGAGAGTTTACTGTAAATAAGTTGGCCAAAGCGCATTGAGGAATAAATCAGAAACGAAAAAAAAGAGAATGGAGCAGGCCGAAAAAAATGTCGTAATAGCCAAAAAAAATTTGAAAAAATATATAAAGGAATTTTTTGAATTGTTTTGGAGGCCCAAAAGGCAGGGTAAACCCGATATAGGGATCCGGAACTCAGATAAAGTTAGGTTAGGTGCCCCAACCACTTCAATTTTTTTTTGGAAAATTCCATGAAGTAAAATCAATAAATGGGTGGCTGGTTGTCACCTGGACTCACCTTGGGATCCTTCTCGTAGTAGTGCTGCTGTGTGCGAATCCAACGGCCCACCATGTTGTCCTTGACGGTGTTGGCCAGGGCGAAGTAGTAGTCCCTCAGGGTGGACACATTGCGATCCTTGACCAGGGTGTAGTGCAAGTGCCGATTGAAGTTCTTCTTCACCTCGGTGACATTGCCCACCTCGGCGATCCCGCGCACCGAGATCTGCTTGCGCCGATCGGCGTCCGATTGGGGCTTCGACATGGTGTCCTAGTTATATCCCTCTGATCTCAGGCCTTCTCTGTGGCAGTACTATATAGCTCGCTGATTCCGTTGCGTGGGTGCGCGTGTGTGTGGCGGAGACCCGTTTGCGTGTGCGACAGCGAAGAGGAGACGGAGAACTGTAGACACTAGACACAACCCAGACCTGAACAGACGACCGTTCGCAGCAAAATCCGGAGCGATTTATATTCTCACTTTATACTTTCATTATACTTTCCAGAGCTTTTTCGGTAAGAGCTTTTCCCGCTCAATTGGCTCTCCTTGCTCTCCTGCAATCTTGTAAACAACTCCCACAGGCACAGTGGGTGTGTTGCTATTGCTACTAACTTGTTTTATGGAAATAAAAAAAAAAAGTATTTCTAATTTGTTAAACTTCGTATTCCACCTACCGCTAATTACCCAAATAAATCCAAAAATATTTAAATATATAAAAAAATTTGTAGAGAAAATACTAGGATTCATTTCTAGCTCTAATCATCTATTCCAGTTTTTATATATTCTTTTTATGGGATTTTTATAAAAACATTTTATTTCACCTTTATTTCGGTTTATAAATTTATCCTACAATTAAAACGCTTATTTTAAAAATATTTTTTGAGTATGTGTTCCACTGTGCCTTGCTGACACAGCCATTCTTATCTCGCCGCTGCACTTCTCCCAATGTTCCTCAATCTTTTTGCATTGCATAGCCCCACTCTCCATTGCTCTCACGCGCTCTCACTCCCTCTCTCTATTCATCGGAGGCGCTCTTGCCCCAGTCACCTTGTGCGAAGGTCATACATGCGTATTTGTATTTTGTTTTCTGTTTTTGTTTCATCTTAAGTCTGTATGCTTTTTGTTATTGCTTGGCGTCAGGCGTAGAAATAAGACTGTGGCGCCCTCTGTAGCGAGTTGGAGCTTCGAGAACAGGCGGCTGTCAAAGGGGAGCTTTGGAAACAGCTGTTCAGTGGGGAGCAGTTTGGCGGGCTATTTTTTGGGGGTGCCAACTTGCCACTTGATTTAAAAAAGAAAATCTAAAAGATACTTTTGTATCTTTAAAATAGTAATGTATCTGAGAGATAATTTTGTACCTACAGAATACTTTTCTGACAATCTAATTGTATCTTAAGGATTATTTAGAATATATTGTAGACTAAAATACAGATGTATTCATTGCTTTAATATTGATAAACATGAGCATTGGTGAGATAGGACAATTCAAAATTATTAAATTCATTTAATATTTAAAGATTTTCGACTAACGTGCTTTAAAATTTTTATTATTAATATTCTGTTTTAAAATTTTATAAACTAAAAATATTAAAAACTTTTGAAATAATAAAATAAATCTTTTCTAAATGTATTAATTCATTTACTTGACATATTCTTTTACACCAAATGTTAGTTATGATATGATTCTCTCGCCTTCACTAACAAATCGTAAATCGGGGCACAGGGCATCTGCACTTCTGCACCAAACAATTCAGTTAGTCCATTTCTTGTTTATTACTTCCCATAATGGCACTCCCATGTTCAACTACTTGGGAATGCATGCGGAAAAAGTCCTTGAAAGGTGCCGAGTAAAAAGGGGGGAATTTCCAAGGGACCAAGGCGCTGTTTGTTTCTTGTGTTCACCATTTGCTTGGCTATTTCGTTGCGAATGAAAATGATTAGCACATTTTGTAGATGGAAAGCGAAAGGAAAACCTTTTTGGACATTTGCCAAGTGAGCTGCCATGCCATCGAAGTGAGCGTCATCATTCATAAGCTTGTCTGCTAAAAATTTAAAACTTAATTGGAATCTGCAGAATCCCGGCAACCGTACGCTTGTTGACTCCTCGCACATATGCTCTACGTTTTGTTTTTCTTTTTTTTTTTTATTCAACTACGAGTATTATGCAAAAGTTACACTTAGGCGGCAAAAAGAGTTCACTGAGAGAAATTGGAGAAATAATAATATTCAAAATATCGAATAATCATTTTTTCCCAGAAATAACAAATAAAATGTTTATATAAATGTCATAGGTTGCATACCAGTGCTGCCATCACTCAGCTTGAAAAACAGGACAGATAAGCCAAAAAAAACTGGGAAAAAAAGGACAAAAAATTTTAAAAAAGGACAAAAAAAGGGACAAAAGTAAATGCGCCTCCATTTTTCTGTTTTACCAATGGGTTATATAATTACTTAATTTAAATGGATTTTATATTAAATTCAATTATGTAATGACCTACTGCGCCCGACTCACATCCTTCTTTGTTTGATCATTTTACCATGGTTAATTTTTGTGCGTATACGTAATAATCTAAAATTATTAAAATAATAAAAGCATTTCAAGTAACTATATTGGTAATACAAAAAAATGCCATATCTGCGTCAAACCCGAATAAGGGCCGGTTTCTCGAGTGCCGGCTAACATTTCTCGAACAGATAAAGTCCCTGCTAAGGCATTTTGGCTTTCTCGAGCATAAATGTGAGAGCTAACTTTGACAGGGACTCGGAGTCCCTGTTAAGCGTTTTCGACTCGATAGAATGACAGCTGATTTCCCAAAGCCAACTAAGAAGAAGAAACGAAATCACAGCTGACTTTTCCTTAAAATTATACCCAAACAGCTGATAAAATAATCGAAGCATGCCATTTTTTGCGCTTCACAGCACAATTCTGTGCGTTAACAGCACTCTGTAATTGTTTCTCGTTCAGATAAATTAAAGCAGTCGAGAAAGCGGATTTGCTTTTACGAACAGTTTATCTGGTATTTAAGTTTTTCGAACAGATAGCTATCAGGGACTTTGACAGGGACTCGAGAAACCGGCCTTAAGAGTCGTTAAAATCTGAAATTTTTTTCTGACAAAAAAGCAGAGGGTAAAAATTGAGAAATTTTTAAAGTGATTTTCTCTTTTTTTGCTACAGAAAAAATCGTACTATATAGAAAATCCATCGACTGCTTTACGTCTCTTTGATAATTTGTAAAAATAATTATTTTTTAAGTGCCGAACTGTAAGATTGATGGTTAAAAAGGCGTTTTAGCATATAAAAACAGGTTTACACACTTTCGACTGGCAAAAATAACACTCAAGACCTTTTTTTTGAAAAAAGGACAGATTTCCGGATAGGGGATGTTTGAAATTTTTTCCGGATAAACCCGTTAAAAAAAGGACAGATCTGTCCGGAAAGAGGACAAAATGGCAGCACTGTTGCATACCAAACATAATAGGACTGAAATTCCCACCGAAAAATATGATGCTATCATCTTTTGTGTTGACTCATTTTTTGAAAAATGTTATTTCTCAAATGTATTGTTAATGTAAATGTTTTCAAATTAATCTAAGCGATAACACTTGCAAGAGAGCGAGAAATCTGAGTTGTTTCATTTTACCCCTGATAAGCTCAACTCTGGGTTATAAAAATATTTTCATTGAGCTCAGAATCATTTCGTTCGAAGAACTCGCCAAGAAATGACTTTATATTTCACATTTCTTCTGCCGCTGCTGCTGATCAGCTTTGCGAACGGTCAACAGTATGGTTATCAGGTATGAATTGTATAAATTAGTAAATAATTGTATTAATGCAGACGGAATATTCGCTTATAGCCACAACGTGTCGGATACAACAGAAATCCGAGTCAGAATCGAGTGGAGAAATTTCCCTGGGTGGTTGCGGTGCTGGACAAGAGGGATTTGCTAACCCGCTACATAGGATCGGGATCTCTGATTAAACCCAATGTGGTCCTCACCGCCGTTCATATTCTGAATGATATATCCGAATCTGATCTGCTGGTGCGTGCTGGCGAATGGAATACTTCGACAACGGAGGATCAGCAGCATGCGGATCTCGAGGTCTTGAAAATCGTTCGCCACGAACAGTTCAACAGGCACAACGCCGAAAACAATGTGGCCTTAATCATTCTGAAAACAGAGTTTAGGATCACAGATAACATCGGTATAATTGGTTTGTACATGGGAGGAGGTAACCGACTAAAATCCTGCTTCTTCAACGGCTGGGGCAAAGAGAAATGGAACTCGGAGGATTATCCCACCACTCTTAAGAAGACCGAAATAGATATTGTATATAATGATATCTGTGCACAACGATTAGGACGGAAGCTATCAGACCGACAATTTTGTGGCGATGGCTTGCAGGGAAAAGATTGCACTGGCGATGGTGGTGCTCCTGTGGTTTGCACAGTAGAGGCAAATCAACCGGTCTTCAAGCAGGTGGGCATCGTCAACTGGGGAGTTCGTAAGCCCGGCGATACCACGCCCACCATTTTCACAGATGTGACCACTCTGTTAGGTTGGATTGATTACCAATTGAGATTACCAGCGAATTTTATTCCCAAATATTAAATAAGTAGAATGGCCTTATGCTTATACAAAAAGTTGTGGCTTTCGAAATTTATTTACTTCTGAAATGATTTTTTGAAATTCTCTGCTCAGTAATAATCTTTAAAAAAAAGAATAAAAAATCATGGGAAATCATACAAAGAATTTATGAATCATTAAAATTCTGAGAGAAGTACTTAAGATGTTTTTTTTAGCTCTGGAGCAAAATATCATTCGAGGAATGAAACAAAGCAAGTAGTCCAGGCACACTTAATCAGTTCAATCACGGCTTTGCAAATATATATAAATATTATAGGGGACCAGCCAGATAATGATATTTTTATTACGGCATTATTATTTCCTAAGTCTTTAAAAAATATATTTAAAATAAAAATTTTTTAAATTTAAATATTTGTTTTAATATTCACATCTAATACGGCTTATTAGTGATACCTTAATTGAAATATAGATCGTTAAAAATTTACATATATATACATTTACATTTATATACATTTTTCCCCCAGTGTACAAAGCAAAGAAAAATAATCTCGGCTAAAAAATTCGCATTCGAAGGAGGGCAGGTAGCTAAAATCTAGCGGGGGGAGGGTGGTGGGGAGTTTTGTGGGTGAAACGCCGTTCAAAAGTTAAAGTGTTGCCATTTTTCATTTTTTTGCACGCTACTTGTTTGTTGTTGTTTGTTTGTTTGTTTGCCGCTGCACAAAGGCAAGTGTGTGTGTGTGTGAGTGTGGGTGGGGAAGGGGCGGGTGGTAGGCGGGTATGCCGCAAACACACGAAACATATGTGAGTTGCGTTTGCCGTGTGAAAAAAAGAGCGATTCGAGTGCTTGTTAGAGGGAGTGCGAGTGCGGTGGGAAAGGGATGCCAAATGGATGTGAATGGATGGGTGTGAGTGAGATCCGGAAACTCGTTTTGCCGCTAATTGGATGCTGAAGGTGTCCTCGGCGTGTGTGTGTGTGTATATGCTGCCTGTGGTCATGTGTGTGTGTGTGCGGTTCGGAGTTGAAGTTGCCAAACATCATTAACAGCTCCCCGACACGCCCACCGCCCACTGACTTTCACACTGAAACAAAATAATAATAATATTTAATAGGAGTTAAATTTCTAGAAAATTAGCAATTTTTAAAAATTAAAAAAAATTATAAAAAATAAATATTATTTACTGTTGTATTGCTTTTGTAATATTATATTACTCAAACAGATATTTTTTCAATTACGTGTGATTTAAAATTAAAATGTGCAGAAAAAACTTAGAAAAAACTTTTTTTTTTAATATTTTATAGGAAATTTTGTTCCAGTGTGACGCCTGTCTGCAACCAAAAAAAGCGCTGTCTCAATAATTACAATTTTTTTGCTCTGCTGCTGCTGCTGCTTTTACAGACACCTCTGATGATGAGATTAAAGTTTTGGCATAATGATGTCTCATTAAATTAAATGGCAACATTTCCAAACAAAACTGATGTAATTTGCCCGTCGTAGTTGCCTGATTAATGTGGCCCGGCACTCGAATGAAAAAGCGGCGGGAAATGGATCTGCTTGCCGTAAACTGTTTGGCTTTTTTGATTTCACTTTAATACGCTCCTTTTGGCCGTTTAAAATGTTTACCATAAAATTGTGTATCAATATCAATATTGGAGGATTGCCCAACCAGTTGGACCCGCTTGCCCTGGCATACACACAAATTGATATTGAATTACAATAAAATCTGCATTTATCAAAAGTTCCCACGCTCACCTGAACACACACGTACGACCTATAGGTATGTGGTATGTACATGCAACAGTTGTAAGTCAGCATTTGTATGCGTAGCATTTGGTAACCTTTAACCCTTTTTATGGCCCGGGCATGAAGAAAAATACCAAGGTGCAATAACAGGCGTAAAAAACAACCCGGAAAAGTTTTGATTGTCCTGAGAACGAATTTTAAATGCCTTTAAATATAAGATTTGAATAAAACTTTATTTAAAAGAATTATTTTAAGCATAGTAGTTTCATATATCTTAATTTTGTAAAAGAATTTTGTATTGAAATAAACATTCTTTAAGAATAATTGTCATTATTTTATAAATGCCTTTTAAAAATATTTTTTATAAAATTTTTTTTATATTTATTTGTTTGTAAATCACATTAGGTATTTAAAAAAAAAAAATAATACTTATAAAAATTGCGAAATATCCTTAGTCAAAATATTGAAACAAACGTTCTGTTAGAATAAAGATTATCACTTATCAAAGTTATTTTTAGAGATATTTCTTATTATTACACTTTTTACCATATTAAGTATTTTAAAAAATAGAATTAAATATTTAGAAATCCGCTCATATCCAGAGTATGAGTACACATGCCCACCTTTGACCAACTTCAAACAAAAACACTTTTACGGGGTGGCGGAAAGACTTTAAGGATGGCCTCCCAATGGGAGCATTTTGGGGCAAGCGTGGCCATTATGAGCTACTTAGCAACCGATTTGTGCAGCACTTGCCGCACCTCACGCACACACAAAAGCACTCTACCGCTGGCATTAGTGTGCGTTTGTGTGTGGTGTGTTTCAGAATTAAGGAACAAATTTTTTGGAAGAAAATCGTAGAGAATTTAAGCGTTTTTGGTTTCAGGTTTCCAGCGAGAGCATCTTCGGTTTCGTTTGTTGAATTGAAATTGCTTAATTTAGCAGATAATTTAGCCAACAAATTGTTTTCTTTCCCCCTCCCCCCACAAAAACACACATTCAGGGAATGTAATTAGCTCGTTTCCTGTTTTTGTTTGCCATTGCTTTCGTGGCTTTGTTCGAGCGATACAAACGCTCCCATGTGGCTATTTGTATGCGATTTATGGAACCAACTTGGTTACGTCCAAGTTGGCACTATTGTTGCGACAACTATTCAATTACTTTCCCCTTTCTCCTCGGGCACACTTTCACTCCCCCAGTTCGACAAGTGACCCCAAAGTCAGTGTTTAATTGGACCCCCTTTTGTCCGGTTTCGAGTTTTCTGGTTAACAATGCGTGGCTTTCGATTTTCAGCTTCGGGGAAAACTTTAAGCACTGAGAGAAAAAAATAATTTAAATGGTCTTGGATTTAATTTTAAGTTTAGGTTCTATAAAATACTTGGTGTTGTTACATATACAATTTGGCAGATTTAATTAATAAACTAATTAGTTGCTAATAAGTTTTATAAAATGCATCTACAACCCAAAATCCTATAAATAATCTAAATGTTACTGAGATAAAGGTGATCGCCTTGACACACAAACAAAAACACAAACAAATTAAATTAAAATTAAACTAAAAGAATTTCTAAAAATAAATAACTCTAACAATTAAAGATAAGTTTAGTTAAGTCCTTTGTAAACAACTATATAGTATTTTTAAGAAATATTGTCAGCTATAAATTTACTATAATTATCAACACGGAGTGACTAGCGTACTAATTCATAAGTTTCAAAAACTTGTAACGCTAGGATACAATAAACAAATAAATTAAATTAAATTAAAACATTTATTTATGGTATTTATTGGCATATTGTCTTAACTATGCACTCCTGGTAAAATTGATATTAAATAATATAATTTGGCGGATTTTTCACTCTCGTAGATTCTCTCACTTATTAATCATTCCAAGTTCACCACTTCCCCTGGTAGAGATTCAAGTTGTGTCTCACAATCAAAAGTTGTGCTCCTTTTAAATATGCTACAAAATAGCGCTCACATTTTCATTTTTAAATTTTTAAAATTGGCGCCCTCTGCTTGCAACCAAATTTACATATTCTAGTGAAAAGTTTGTAGAAGCCAGAATAAATTACACGAAATCTATTTTTGCTGCAGTTTTATTGCTTTTGCATGAAAATGATGTGTAAACTAGCCGCAATATGTTGTTGTTTTCCAAATATGAAAACTTGCTTTTTACCGTATATATGAATATTTGTGCGTTTTAAGTAAACAGAAGCTTATGAACCGTAAAACAGAAATTAAAAGAAGAGTTTATTGCTGATTTTGAACAATATTTGCAAGGGTCAACATATTTTTTCAATTGGAATTTTATTTTTTAATATTTGTGCTTCTGATAAACTGACAAAGGGCAGCCACAATGTCAACGGATATTGTCAATTCATTTAAGTAAAAGAAAACACTTTCTTAATCAATTTATTTAAAATGCCCTTCGTTGTGTTAAGCAATTACTGTTTCATTCAATAGCCATTTTACACAATTTTTTGTTTACAAATCGGATTGCCAGCCACACTTACATATGTTCACATTCATTTATTTATAATACTTTACAGTTCGTATGCGACTTTTGTGGCATGATTATCAGTACTGAAAATATTAAGAGTGAGAGTATAGGGATTTTCTGCTGTTATGTAAGAAGTAATACTTATAAAAGTCTTAACCCTTTATTTAAATCTTAAAATATTATCATAGTAAATTATGTAGTTCAAATATTATATACTAGCTTTAATTATTAATTTATTAAATAATTATTTAATACATTTCTATAAAATATTTTTAAAGTTATTTTAACCTTAATTAAAAACGTAAAATATAATTAAAGGGAATCCCTGAGTTTAAACATTATATGCTACCTTTATTTCTTTGAATTTTATTTTAATACGATTTATCTTTGTCAAGCAGATAAATCAATTTGATACGGATGTGTGAGTCGAATATGATTTATTGTTATCCCATGTGTTCGCACTCTGTGAATCCTTCAGCCTTTTGCTGATATAGTTATGATTGTCATTGTTTGCTGCTGCTGCTGCACAATCTGGTTTATTATTTGGCAGCTCTTATCAATTGCAAAAATTCACAATGTGCATTCAATTTGCTAAGCGGCTTTAGGTGTGCACAAAAAAGTAGTAGCAGTAGTAATAATAACAAAACAATTTGCATATTATTATGTGCTCACTTTGATGGAATCATGCCAGAGGAAAATTGCACAGAGGAAGGAGAGATGAAAACACTTGAATGCCTGGGTAATAAATTTAAATCTGTAGCCAAACTCCCAAAAGACTGTCGAATGGCAAAGGGGCAAACAAAGGAGT